GGTGCCATAGAAATAGGTGAAGATCCTGGATAAGTCTCAATCTCGAACTCTACCTCTCTATCAGGAGGTAACCCAGGCAACTCCTCCGGAAAAACATCAGGAAACTCGCTAACTGTACGAATTTTCTCGATCGTGGACAATGCACCTTTGGTGTTCAAAATACAAGCAATGAAGGTCTCATATCCCTTCCGGATCATACGATCAATTTCCATCACTGAAACTATGTTGGAGAGATAACCACGCCGTTCACCAATTAACACAACAGTCCGACCATCTGAAGTCTTCAGAGTAGCCCGCTTGTATTCGCAATCCAGCTTTACCTTGTGTTTATTCAACCAATCCATTCCAAGAATTAGATCGAACTCCTTTAAAGGAAGCTCCATAAGATCAGCGAGAAAAATTTCTCCCTGAACCTCGAGAGGACAACGTCGGAATACTTTATTCACTAATACCGCTTGTCCTACTGGACTTGTAACTGTAACAGTATTTTCAGTGTTCTCGATCGGAATCTGAAGGTTTCGAGATACTGAGCTCGATACATAGGAGTGAGTGGAACCATTGTCCAATAATGCAAAGTATGGGGTAGAATAAATAGTAAATGTACCTGCAATAACCTCAGGCTCATCTCTGTCATCACGACGTCTAGTTGCATAAACCAAAGCTGGTTGTCTAGCCTCAGAAGCTGTTGGCCCTCTATTTTGCTGAGGTCGGGCTCTACTGTCTGTCCTGGACGCTGATCCTCGAGTCTTTCCTTGACTACGATCTCTAATTGGGGTCTGTACTGTAGTCTGCGAACGCACAGGAGTTTGGGTAGTGGTCTGCTCAAACGAAACTAACTGAGGACAATCCCTCCGATAATGACCACTAGATCCACACTGATAGCAAAGACCCATCTTCTTACGACACTCTCCTGAGTGTTGTTTACCACAATACTCACAAAGGGGCCCATTATAATACGACGAGGAACCGCCTCGACTGACAGCTAAAGGTGAGGATGCTGCAGGCCTGAAACGTGTATTGCTTCTATGAGGGGCTGAATTACGAGTCCTCTTTCCGGACTGTGCTGATGACTCCATCGGGACTGAAAATTTCTTAGATCGATCTTGATCAACACGCTCTCTACCAGAAGCTAAAAACTCCACCTCTTCCGCATCTTTGGCTCTGCCCACCAGCACATCAAATATCTCATCCTGATGGGTTACAACTTGCCTACGCAGCTCGTATCTGAGTCCAAGGGCAAATTTACGACATCGATCTCTCTCCGTAGGTACCATACTGAATCCATACTTCAGCAATTTCAGGAACTCGATCTCATATTCAGAAACAGTCATGTCTCCCTGAACCAGGTCTTGAAACTGTTGTCGTCTCTGAGCTAAGTAGCGCTCTCCCAGAAAACGGCTCCGAAAGCGATCCTTAAAGAAATTCCAGGTCAAACGATCGGTAGGAACACTACTGGTCACTGACTCCCACCAAGTGTAGGCATTGCCATCTAACATCGCCACAGCACCCTGATATCTCTTAATTGAGTCCAAACCCAACTGATCCATGCGTCTCTCTGTATCCTGGAGCCAATCCTCAGCTTCAGTAGGAGCTCCATCTATCTGTCCCCCAAAAGTTCTAACTCCATTGGCAATCAAAGTATGCGAAATAGGAACCTCAGATACAAAACCAGTAGCTCTGACTGCTCCCTGTATTAACTGCAGAAATTGTCTACCAAAATTCTCATCCAAAGCAACTCCGTTAGACTCTAACTCAATATCGGTCGCTCCTATTATCGGTGTAGTCATGCCAATACCAGCGGCAGGAGGCAGATCCGTTGGGGTCGTAGGAGCATGATCACCTATCGGAGGTGGGGGATCTACCCGTATCTCATCGATCGGATCTGCGAATCTAGCCACTCGACCTCGTCCACGGCTAGTTCGACGACTACGTCTAGCACTCATTTTGATGGATCTCAAGTTTACTACAGAAGATAAAACTTAGGGTTAGATAAGCACTTGGAGTCTCAAACATAGTTAAAATCTTAATAACTTTGTGACATGGCCTTAGTAACTCGTTTTGTAAAATATTTCAAAACCGTATTTTCAATGTGGACTCATACACAGTCCGAGGGTTAAAAACCAAAAGCTCTGATACCAATAAATGTAACCCCCTAGACCCGGCCTATGCGTTTCGACTAAGTCTAGTGGATCACATTATAATTATTAAAGACATTTTTCGCAACCGTTATTCCATCGATATAAAATCACATTATAAAAACATGAAATTATAAACAATTTATACTATCAAAACCAACTCGTAAATATAGTACAAATAAATAATAATTTAATTTAAAACATGTCTTCAAATTCAAAATCACAATAAACCGAGCAGTAGTAGCAAAAGTGTTATCATTATAAAATCCGATATTTTAAAATAAGGTCCATGTCACCAAAATAAAGTAAACTTGCCAGATAAAAACATTACAATCTGATTTACTTCAAGAGATATGTTGATCCTCCAAGTGCTCGAACCAAGGTATCTACCCAACAGTATCTGAAAGGGGAAAACATTTTCAAAAGGTGAGCTAGGCTCAGTGTGTCCCAACATTTCCATAAAATCACAATAGGTACAAATCATAGTCCAGTAATCTCACAAATTCGTAAAAGAGTTTAACTTTTTGAAAATCATAGTTTAAACCCTTTTCTGGTACACCATCAGTAGTTCCCAAAATTATTTTCCATATAGCTTACTTTATGCACATAGCAAAAAGAAAGCCGACTTAAGGATAGGCTCTGAAGCTTGTATCCTTAAGCCCAAGTCAATAAGTCCATATAGCTTACCCTAAGCACACAGCAAAGGAAAGCCGACCTAATGAAACATCTTGGGGCCCTCAAGAGTCACATTAGGCCCAATTAGCTTGATCAGAGCTATTCCATCGTATTTCAATTCCAAAATTCAATTGCACCGTGACATAAATTCCATAAATCCAAAAACATGGTAATCATATACCATTTCAAAACAAAAATTAGATAGCAGTCATATTCCATAAATTGTCACATTAAATTGGTGCATCCATAAAACAATAGCCAATGAATTCGGTGTACCACATATTAAAACCAATAAAACAGTTCAATAATAAGTAGGGAACACACCTCGACAATAGATTCAAATAACAAATCTACTGATTGCTGGTTTCACCACGCTCTGCTACAATTTTCGAACGGGTGAATACTGGCACACGTGGTTTAACTGATCTAGAAGAGCTGGGTCGAGCTGTCGAACGATCCGGAGAGTCTCTTGTACCTTCAAACAATAATATTTATCAGTCTCAAATCCTATTCAATTGTTCAAAGCTAAACTTCTTAAGTATATACGCATTTTTCGGGTTTGACTATCAATTTGAGGTATTTCGAGTCTGAATTTGGCCAAACGGATTACGGAATCGGAATCAGGGCGTCGAAAAACATAAAGTATGACTTTTCGAAAATTCAAATTCTTGGTCAAAGTCAAAGTCAACCACTTTGACCGTAGATTTGGAGACCTTCGGATTCGAATTTGACAAAACGGACCACGGAAACGGATTCGGCACGTCGAAAAATATCAGGATAGGTATACTCGGAAAAGATTAACGGTCGTTTAATGCTCGGTCAAAGCCATTTTAAGTTTTGGTCAAAGAAAGTCAACGGTCAACGGTCAACGGTCGGGTCGGGTCGGGTCTGACCGGTCAAACCGGTTCAGACCGGTCAAACCGGTTCGAACCGGTTGAAACCGGTCAAACCGGTCAGAACCGGTTGAAAACCGGTTAAACCGGTGTCCAGCAGCCACTCGCCCTGCGGCGGCGCGTGTGGCGCGTGAGGCGTCCTCCGGGGCCCTAAAAATCCCGGAAAAATTTCTAAAAATTATTTTGAGCGATTTCAAGATACTTACAACGATCGGTTCAAATTTTTGAACGGCGGAGAGCTCGATTTCAAATCGGCCGAATCTTTGACTGCACCACCTCCCCACGCGCCGCCGTCTACGGCGGACAAGGTTGACACCGGTGAACTCGGAACGGCACAAGGAACACGATGGTGCGGGAGGTGTCGTAAACAGAGCAACGATCAGCGGTGAATTTAAGATTTTCTCGGCGATAGAGCTAACAAAACCGTCGCTACTTTGACTGGAAATTCCCGACGTTTGGCCGCGTTTCGCTTCAATTAATTTGAAGGTTTTGCTCCTCGCTCGATGATGAACACAACGGTGGTTTCAAAACAACGATCGGAATTCGGACGGCGTCGGAATCGAGTTTGGAAGTTGTGTGCGTGAGGAAGAATTTCACAATTGTTTTCTGTTTTGAAAACAGAAAACCATTCATATGTTTATATGAAATTTTCTGCCGACACTAAAAGGAGTAATGCAGGGCTTGGTCCCTGAATTTCCTTTAACTTCTAAAATGGCCTACAATTTTGAAAACTTTCGATTTAATCCTCAAATTTTTGCCAAATTACTTAATTAATTTTTTTTTTTTCTAAATTTTATTCCGGGTTGTTACATTGCTTCTCTTTCTCTATTTTGTTAATAGATTCTTAATGTCCCAGATTCATGTGTTTTAAGATTATGATATATCAAGAGGGATTGCTTCTTTTTTTCTCTGTTTTGTAACAACATGACTAATATATCAGCTTTAGAAGTTGGAAGCTGTTTTCTGCATGAAATGATTATATATTATCACACTTGTATATATTCCAAGCGGTTTCACTCTTATTTTAGGTTACCTTAGAACTTGTTATTGGTTTGTATTTCCTCTTCATATGAAACACATTTTTCTTCTTAGTTAGGATATGGACTCGTTGGAGCAAGATGGAAATGGGTAATGCCCGAGTCTCTTCCTCCTCCCCCACCTGTGCCACCCGATGTGGTACCAATAAAAGCATAATCTGAACCTCTAAAGAAGAAGGTTGCGCGGGTCCCAATGGGCAGGCGTTGTCTTGGGTTTAAATGGCAGAAGATTACTCTTCTAACGAATCACTTAAAAGTGAATGTTGGAAGTTTTGATGGATATTTCTTCCACTACTGTATGTCGTTCGATCCCATTGCACCTTTCTTTTATTAACTTTTTATTTTCTCCTCTGGCAATTTGTAAATGGATGATGCAAGTTTCTTCTTTTGCATTTGGTTTGATAGGTTTCTCTATCTTATGAAGATGGTCGTCCATGTTGGAAGCGTAGATGAGCACTCAGTAATTTATAACTCAAACTTGTATTAATACGAAGCTAAATACGTTACAACGACGTTATCCGAATATTATAATATTACAACACTACAACACTAGTTGCATCTAATTTACAAACATAACCTCGTTATTCTAAGTTTTACTAAGTTTTACCATCTCTCTCGTAGTTTTTCTAAGCTATCTATCATTCTTGCTTTTCTAAGTTATTACTCATTCATTTTTCTTTCACTTGTATTTTTTCATATACCTTTCATACATCACATATATATAATAGTGTTTAACCAACTAAGTTACCGCCTCAAACTTCTTTCACAACTAAGCATTTCATTTGTTTCTTCCATCTTTCTTATCCATGTATACGTTGCTTCCTTCATGCACATTAATTTGTGCTATTTTAATTGACTTCGTTGTATCTTCACTTAAGCTTAATACTTAAATAATTCGAAAAACTTCCTTAATTGATTTTTCTTTCACGTTTTTTTCCTTAATTATTAAGCATGAGCATGTTGCCAAAAACTTTTCAACTTTGCTAATTCTATAGCCTTTTTTGACTTGTAAGAAATCAAGTTTGATTTCTAATACTCCACCTCAAACTTGATTTTCGGTTTCGAGCTTTTCTCTACTTGTCATCTCCGATTGATTCTTCATTTATTACGAGATCACTATTTGCAAAGAGACTGAATAGTGAAATATTATTTAATTCATAATCGTTGTATCTTTCTGGTATTCTTCTCTCTCTTGTAGATCTTCGAACTTTAATGAGAGGTGCTTTATAATTTTCTATTATGTTGTTAAGATCGTTGCTGTTAGTTGACGATGATGGTATATTTTGTTGAGGACCTTGATCATCAGCTTGTTCATCTTGATTGATAAGATCATCATCTTTATCTTTATCTTCATTAAAAAAATTGTTCTTCAACTTTCTTTTCTTCTTTGCTCCATCTCTAATATTCTGCTTCATCGAACTCGACATCTCTTGAAATTATTACCTTCTTGGTAAGAGAATTATATAATATGTAAGCTTTGATTATTTCATCATAGCCAATAAAAATACATTTTTCTCCTCTGTCATCAAGCATCTTTCTATTATGTTCAAGAATGTGGGAATATGCGATGCACCCAAAAATCTTGAGGTGTCTAACTCCTGATTTCTGTCCACTCCATGTTTCGTTTGGCGTCATATACTTCACACTTTTTGTTGGATATCTGTTCAATAGGTAAACTGCACATCGAACTGCTTCAGTCCAGAAATTTCTCGGTAGATGTTTACCTTTTATCATGCTTCTTGCCATGTATAGAATTGTGTGGTTCTTTCTTTTTGCAACTCCATTTTGTTGTGGCATGTATCTAACAGTCAGCTGATGGATGATGCCATGCTCTTTGCATAATGTTTCAAATAACTTTGATGTATATTCGTATCCTCTATCTGATCTGATTATCTTCATATATTGACCATTTTGCTTTTCCGTCATTGCTTTAAATTCTTTCAATTTTTTCAGCGATTCTAACTTTTCTTTTAGAATGTAAATCCAACATTTTCTACTAAAATCATCAATAAAAGTTAGATAGTACCTGTTACCGCCAAGCGATGGTGTATCAAAAGGACCAGCTATATTTGAGTGTACTATCTCCAGCAGTCTTCGGGCACGCTAGGATCTACCAACTTCAAAGCTTTGTCTATGATGCTTTCCTTTAATGCAAGCCTCACATAATTGATTTAGAGGGTTGATCTCTGGCAATCCTTTCACCGTACTTGTTTTTTATAACAACTTCAAACCAAAAAATCCAATATGTCCATATCTTAGATGACATAGTCATGAATCATCTTTGATCATGATCTTCATGCACTTGACTTCTCCCGACTTGATATCAATTGTAAAGAGACGATTTCGAGTCATATCAACTTGGGTTATCAATTCTCCTTCTTTATTTTTGATGGCAAGCGAGCGATTCTTCATCTGCATTTCATATCCTTTTTCCAAGAGTTGACCAAGATTGATGATATTGCTTTTCAAAGCTGGTACATAATAAACATCTGAAATGTATTTTTTTCTCCATTTCTATGAGTAATCTGACTTCACCTTTTCCTTTTAGTTCTGCGTGCGAGTCATTTCCGAAAGTTACTCGCCCATGGACTGTTTCATCTAATTTTACAAACAGTTCCCTTTGACCACACATATGGTTACTGGTACAATTATCAAGATACCAAATATTTTTCTTGAATTCTCTATTTCCTTTATAAGTGAGGAATACATGAGATTTTTCAATTTTTTCTTCTTCAGCTGTTGTTACGTTATTTCTTTCTTCTTGTTTAAGAGCAGATCTACACTCATAATTATAATGACCATACTTATTGCAATTATAACATTGTACCTGAGATTTATTTCCTTGTTGATATCGGCCTCGGCCTCTAAATCATCGTCCACGACCTGATGTTGGATTGTTTTCACTTATTTGATCGGTGCCATATGATTGACCGCCACGTCCACGAGTTCCTCGTCCTCCTCTGTATCTATCACGATTTCCTCGTCCTCGTGTGTAGCTGCTGTTAGCTTTTTCTTCATTGACATTCATCTTGCTTTGTAGAGCTCACTTCAAATTTTCAGAATCTTCATTTTGTTTTATTTTCTGCTCATGAGCTTAAAGTGAAGTGTTAGAAATCAAAATTGATTTCTTACAAGTAAAAAAAACGGCTATAGAAATGAGCAAAGTTGAAAAGTTTTTGGTAGCATGCTTAATAATTAAGGGAAAAAACGTGGAAACAAAATCAATTAAGGAAGTTTCTTGAATTATTTAAGTATTAAGCTTAAGTGAAGATATATCAAAGTCAATTAAAGCAGCACAAATTAATGTGCATGAAGGAAACAACGTATATGTGGATAAGAAAGGTGGAAGAAACAAATGGAATGCTTAGTTGTGAAGGAAGTTTGAGACAGCAACTTAGTCGGTTAAACATTATTATATATATGTGATGTATGAAAGGTATATGAAAAAAATACAAGTGAAAGAAAAATGAATGAGTAAAAGCTTAGAAAAACAAGAATGAGAGATGGTTTAACAAAGCTATGACAGAGAGGGTAAAGCTTAGAATAACAAGATTGTGTTTGTAAACTAGTCACAGCTAGTGTTGTAATATTATAATATTGGGGTAATGTCGTTATAACGTATTTAACTTCGTTTTAATAAAAGTACGAGTTATATAAATTATCGAGTGTCCACCTACGCTTCCAACAGACCAGTTGATGGCAAGGGTGTTGAGAGAAAAGTGATAGATAGTGTGCAAGAAACCTATAACAATGAGTTGGCTGGAAAGGAATTTGCATATGACGGGGAGAAGAGTTTATTTACTGTTGGTCCTCTCCCAAATAACAAGCTTGAGTTTACAATTGTACTTGAGGATGTTACATCTAATAGGTGGACATGCACTTATGATTGGTTTTTAGTATTTATGTCGTTTCCATTATTGTTATTTAAACTCTAAACATAGACATTTTTATTTATAGAAACAATGGGAATGCGAGTCATGATGGCCATGAGAGCTCAAATGCTCATGACAGGAAGAGAGTTAAACGACCTTATCGGTAAAAAACCTTTAAAGAGGAGATTAGCTTTGCTGCAAAGATTCCCATGCAGGCCATTCAAAATGCACTACGTGGACAGGAATCAGAAAACTCACAAGAAGCCTGAAGGGTTCTAGATATCATTTTACGACAGCATGCTGCAAAACAGTGAGTTAAAAGTATGTCTACTTGTTGTTTTACCCTCTTTTAGGTTTTGGTCCTGGATGTGAATTTGAATTTGTTCCAACATTAATTTGATTATAGTGGATGCCTTCTTGTTCGCCACTCTTTCTTTCAGAACAATCCTGACAATTTGACAGAAATTGGAGGAGGTGTCCTAGGCTGTAGGGGGTTCCATTCTAGTTTCAAACGATTTTCTTTTATCTTTTAATTTGGTTTGATTGTATTCAAATGATTTTCTTACGGAAAAAGTCAAAATAAAACCTAACTATACATTTATTTATTAAATCAAACCAGAAATTAAAAAAATTAAATCAAACCAAATCACATAGTCGGATTCAAATCAAAATTTTATTTTATTTTTTCAAATTTTCTGTACAACCCTAGTGATAGTTGGTTAAGAAAACGTGTATTATCAATAATTGTAAAGACAATACTCAGAATAGTACCATAAATGGATGGAGGCTTAAAGGGTCAACTCGTTATAATTCACGTGTTCGGGGAAAACATTGCATCGTGGATTGCGTGGAAATCTAACCTTTTTTTTATCGTCACGTGTAGATTAATTGGGCTTTCGGCGACGGAATATCTTGAACGGCCGATCTAAGATTCCTATTTTTGTGTGTGTGAAGAAACTCGCTCTCTAATACAGTAACTCTGTTTGTGTTGTGTTGTTCTGTGCTTAGCGATATTAAAAAAAATACTTTATTCGATTGATTTGATTTATCGATCTAGTTAAAAAATATCGGTATTTATTTTTGAAAATATTCAATTTTTCGGGTTGGGAACCTGACCCGTTAAAATTTTCAGATTTCCAAATCGGGTTCGGATCACAAAATCTTACTTAACAGTCGACCCGATACCTGATTTATTATATATATTTTTCTATTTTTATTTTCTATTAAATTTTTATTTGTAATTCTCAAATTATTTCACTCTAACATTTAAAATCCAAAATTTCTTAAATTTGACCACCATAACATTTTAAATTCTTAATTTCTTAAATTATTATATATTAACATTCTAAATTATTTTTAAAGTATTTATTTTAACTTCCAAACATTTAAAATTTAATTATATTCTTTTATTTTAATTTTCAATAAATTTTCTTTCAATTATACAATTTGAAATTTTATATATTATAGACTTTCAATTTTAAAATTTTAGATTATATATATATATATATATATATATATATATATATATAAATATAAATATAATTTAAAGAAAAATTTAAAAAAATGAATTGGATACCCGTGATATGGAAATATGAGTACCTGAATTTTGCAAGTACCCAACTTACAGGTACCCGAATATAATAGGTCAGGACACAGACCGACAATTCGATACCTGAAATACATGTGCCTGGTTTTAAACACCCCTAGATGTGCCCATTATTCACACCGTTGGAATTCTGTAGCCAAATATTTTTACTATCATAAACGAACACGAGATTTTATGTTAAGAGGAATTAATTTAAATTTTTTAAATTTCAAGAGACGATTTAACTTATAAAATTTCAAAAAACGAAAACATATTCTCAATTAAAAATATATAAAAAAATTTAAAACATAAATAAATTTTAAATTTTCAAGCGACACTACTCTTACCCGCCCTTCTTAATCAATCCATGTTTACTATGTCCTAATTCTAAAGTGTTATATATAATTTTTTTTTCAAATAGAATCTTTTGTATAACAAAATATAATCAACCCATCAAAACATTTTACATAATATAAGGACTAACGTACTTAAAAAAATAGAATCAAAATGGTTGTTTTCAAAAAAAAAATAGAATCAAATTGAATGTTTATTTTTTAAAACATTTAATATCTGTGACTACATAAACATTTAATTATGGATATGTTCTTTCCCCTTTTTTCCCCTAATTTATTTGGAAAGAATTGTCTTTCCCTTTCCATGAAAATTAAATCATATTATAATTTAGAAGTTCAGTATTATTTTATTTTTTATTTTGAAAAATTTAGGATATGAGTGGTTCTTCTCTTCTAGAATCAGGGTATACCTAAGTGTTAAGACTCAATTGAGATTTACATAGAAATTTACAGACCGTTTATAAAAAGTGACGATGGTAAAATTTAATCGTAATCTTACAAGTTTAAAGTATTTAATCTTAACTACTTGTATCACCACTCGTTAATATTCAATAAATTTTTTTTATTGTTCACTTAATTTTAGGTTTATTTGATATAAAAAAATACAAATCATATATATTACCAAACCAATTCCATGGTTTTAAATATAAATATTTACAAAATTTCAAACAAAATAAGTACATAAGATTCCCATCATAATACGTAAGTGAAATAACCATTAATTTCAGTATCGCAAATATTTTCCATGGCCAAAGATATTCAGATGCTCATCAAACGTTTTTGTCATGTTCCCAAATCTCATATATTTCATTTTTTTTCTCTACATAAATCTCTTAGACAATCCAATTCCCACCACCAATTTCCTTCTTCTCCAGACCTTTCTCTTCATCGATTTTCAGTTTATACTTCAACCACTTCAAATCTCAAATTCTCTATAAGAAACCAATCTTCTGCAAAGTTCACTTGTAGTTATAAAGCTTTTTCTGTAAGGTAGATTTCTGCAATTTCGTTTGGCTTAAAATTTGAATGCCGAGTTGATGATCATATACTGAACGAAAAAGCCTGTACTTTTAATGTTGTCTGGTTGATAAAAAAAAAGATAATTTTTTTCTTTTTAAATGAAAACCTTTGGTTCCTTTGAGCCAAACAATCTCATGTCTCCAAATACTAAATTTTGGGTTCAAGAATTTTTGGGTTAATGCTTTCTTCTTCTTCTTTTCATAAAAATTGAGTATTGTGCTTTGGGGCAGTAAAGGTGAAAGCTTTGTGCTGTGAGGAAATGACGACTGGAGCTGTGCCAGCTTCGTTTCCTGGTTTGAAGAGCAAGGAGCCAGGCTTAGGATTTGCTAAAAGTATGGATTTTGTGAGACTTTGTGATTTGAAAAGACCCAAGTCTGGTAAAACAAGGATCTCTGTGATTAGGAATCAGAATCCCAGTCAGGATACTGCTCAGCTTCAGCCTGCATCAGAGGGGAGCCCTTTGTTAGGTATAAAGCTCAAACACCCCAAGAGAAATTATATTTTGGATTTAAAAATCACCATTTACTGAATCCGTTCTCATGGTAAAAGAAAGTGTTATCCTTGTTTATTCGAGCAACTGTGTCTGCTAATGTACAATCGCAATTGCTAAGAAATATTCTGAAAATATACTACCTTCCAATCGCTCTAGACTATTAAAAAATCACCATTTCCTGATTTTTTTTTTGGATCTTTTATATAAACTAATAATACCACAAAACTTAGTTGAAAAGAGGGTTGGTTCCCCTTTTCTCCTCTTGAGTTTCTATTGTTTTGAAATCTGAATCATGTTGAGTTTTCTTATGCCACTTAGATGTACAAATACCATGTTTATTTTAACTTATGATTAATCTATGCACCCTATTTAGGATTTAGTATTCTCCATTGGTGTTTTAAGGAACCTCCTATGACTAACAGTTTTAATTTAGTTCCAAGGCAAAAGTACTGTGAATCCATATACAAAACTGTCAGGAGAAAAACTAGGACGGTAATGGTCGGGAACGTGGCTCTTGGTAGCCAGCATCCGCTACGGATTCAAACAATGACTACGACAGATACTAAGGATGTTGCTGGGACAGTGGAAGAGGTATCGACGTCTCACTTCCACTTAAGCTTTTTCTTTTCTGTTCAAATAATGGGTTTGGGATTGGCGACCTATATCCGATGAGTGTTCGATGTGTAGAATGCGATGCTCTTGTTTCCTTACCTTATGGTGTCCTGACATTTTATTTGATATGCTGTTAATTAGTCTTATGAAATTAACTACTGTGGTCTTTTTAACAGATAATGAGAATTGCGGACAAGGGTGCGGATATTGTCCGGATAACTGTTCAAGGGAAGAAAGAGGCAGATGCATGTTTTGACATAAAGAACTCTCTGGTACAGAAAAAGTAAGTCTCTTTCTTTGTAAGAATTAGTTGTCCCTTTTTCAAGGTTCAGTCACATATTTAATATGAAAACTAATATTATCACTTATTGTTCATGCAGTTATAATATTCCTCTGGTGGCAGATATCCATTTTGCTCCTTCAGTTGCATTAAGAGTTGCCGAGTGCTTTGATAAAATTCGAGTCAACCCTGGAAATTTTGGTAAGTAATTCGATGTACTTTCATTTTTTTTTAGATTTTGGTTTCAGCTATTCTGAATGAAAAGTGTGGTAAACTGCAGCTGATAGAAGGGCTCAGTTTGAGCAACTAGAATATACAGATGAGGAGTATCAGAAAGAACTTGAGCATATTGAGGAGGTCAGAAGACTCTTCTTTTAGGTTCAGTCATGCATCACTTGGTATTTAGTTGGTTTGGGTGAAACGTATTAAAATTTTAACTACCGATTCAATAGTATTTTACATCTCACTGATTCTATAAACATGTATCAGTTTCACTATGCGTATTGACCAGCCCTCCACATGGACTCAGGTTTTTACTCCATTGGTTGAAAAATGTAAGAAATATGGAAGGGCGATGCGTATTGGAACCAACCATGGGAGCCTTTCTGACCGTATAATGAGCTACTATGGGGATTCTCCTAGGGGAATGGTGTGCATTTATCTCATCTCTCACTGCCTGACAGCTTTCAAGTGTATTTTATCGTCCTATGCATTCAATTAATTGGTTTTTTCGTAAAACAGGTTGAATCTGCATTCGAGTTTGCTAGGATATGTAGAAAGTTGGACTACCATAATTTTGTATTCTCAATGAAAGCAAGCAATCCAGTTGTCATGGTCCAGGCATACCGGCTGCTCGTCGCTGAAATGTATGTTCATGGCTGGGATTATCCACTACATCTGGGAGTCACTGAAGC